TCCACCCTTGTAATAAACCCCAGGGGTTGCCACCAGTGGGTCTCCCTCTCTCTCTCTCTCTCTCCCTCCCCCCCTTCTCTCTCTCTCTCTCTCTCCCTACATGTCATATCGACACCTCACCCCAAGGGTAGGTGACTGCTAGGTAATTTGCTTTCTTATTTTCTCCGTTACAGAGCTCCTGCCGTGTTCCCTTTTCTTTCTCTCTCTCCTTTCTTTCTCTTTCTTTCTCTCTTCCTTGGCTTTCACCATTCCCGAATGGGGGTGTGAGTGCGTATGCGTGTATGTGTGCTCGTCGCGTTGCTACCCTTGCTTAAGAACCCGATTTCTCGCACCCCGCGGACTCCTGCTCCGCCAATTTTCCTCTCGATGCAGACAGCTGATGCCTACAGAAAAGCGCGAGAATTAAATCACGACGCGACTGACCCGAAAGGATTCCTTCCTTGAAATAAATTCTTTGAGAATCCTTACACGAAAGAATTCTTCAAGGAATACTTTGACTGTATTCCGAGAAATTTTCTGCAACTTTTCTAAACAAATATAAGGAATAGTTTTATTGTAGGACACAATGAGACAAAAACGATATATATATTATATAATTCAAAGTTACTATTTTATATTAAATAATCTAAATTTTAATTCGTTATATCATTCTTTTAAAAATTTTGAGACAATCGTTTTACAAATATTATCTGTTTTGCGAGAATAGTATAATAAAAAATGAATTAAATGTATTTTTATCGAATGTTTCTCATTGTGATGGATCTCGTTATGGAGGCACATGTTCGATTTTACAAAAGACTGACAAGAAGCCCCAGTACCGATTACTCGTTTCATTGCTAATCCGATTTCAGCTATCTCCAGACCGAAAACTCCTTAACGCTACTCCGTTGGTTTCTCTCGATAATCTCGTTACCTCCATTAAATAGACTTAAGAGCCTCGCATCGTTTGCATGTAGAAAATGTCACCTAATGAGAAAGTCGCAACCATGATAATGTTACGAACGAATCATGTTTTACCAAATAACTCTACCTAATTTTAGAATTAATGAATTGTCTTAATTGAAAGTACAAAGGTGTAACCTCAAAAAATGCTTACAAGACCATTCGAAAGTTATCGCAAGCGTCGCAGCTAGTATAGATACAACCCTTTGAGTCAGACGAGCCGAGGTATCCGCCGACTTCTCCGCGACAACCGTGCGGCGGTGTGAGTGGGTGAGTAGGTGGAGTGCGCCTCGCAGGGGACAAAACTCACCCTAAGAAGCTTCTAAGAACGCCAAGGCGGTGGTGACGCTCTGGTGGGGAATAAAAGTACCCGCATGCGCAAACTCCTGAAAAACTGCGGCCCGCCTCCGGCGCCGCCTCTATCGTCTCCGACCCCTCTGACCCCCCTCGAGCCCCTGATCCATCGAGGGCCCTGAGATCTCTCTTCCACCCCCTCACCCCTTCGCCCCTCATAAGACGTCGTCCGGAACGACTCGCGGCCTTTTTCGAGAATTGCCCCCCGGGTAACATGTGCTAACCGTGTGTGATTACCTTCGCTCTACAACGCGGGCGCACCCCGCTATTCGCATCCCCCCCTCCCCCCCTCCGTTAGATCGCCTCGCTATCACCGCTTTATCGCCCTCTCGTTGATCTACCTTTTTTACACCCCCGAAAATCAAAGTGCCGCTGCAGCGCGAAAGGTCGTGACTAACGGACCGGTAAACGGGTGCATATTGCGTGGAGAATCACTAGGAAGTGATCCGACCGAACTGACAATACAGTTTTTCGCGAGCGAGCCCATCAGTGACCGTGGTTAAACATCAGTGTTGTGGGGATACGATAGTTTATTCAGAACAAAGAAGAGATTTTGTGTATGTGAGAAAAATGTTTCAATACTTCATACACTTTTTATGCCAACAATGTCAACCCATCAGCAATTTATATATTTGACAGTTTTAAATAATTTTTAAATCCGTGAAATTGTAAATTAAAAATGAAGGTAATTTTGAAGAAAATATGTTAAATATAAGTTTTACTTGTTGTTAAAATATCATACTTATTGTTCCCAGAGGCAATAACATGTTTTTTTTTTAACTCACAATCATTCATCGAAATCATCTCGCGAATTTTGGTTAAACCGATTATCTATTAACGTAACTTTTTACTGGTTTTTTTTAACAATGCATAAGCTCCAATTATTCCTTGCTAGGCAACACGTCATGGACAAATCCTGCCGATCTAATTGGTCACCAGCAGATAATTGTTCGGCATCGATAATTGGTCCAATTAATATGAACGGAAAAGTGCGTCGATAATCGTCGCGCATTCATCGATTCACCGATTATGTGAACCGTGTATGCGGGTTATAGAATATCGTTACCGTCGAAAGGACATCGGCGAAAAAAATAGCTGAAACGCAAACAGAAACCAATCGTTTTGGCTGCACGTGGTAGTGAAGTTATTGAGTTTTTATTTTGTTGCTGTTCACATCGTATGATTACAATGCTCGTCAACAGATATTGAAAGACTATTAGATTTTAAGCGCATATATAAAATAAAATAAATATAATACTATATAAATTTTTTTGTATGAAGACATAATAGTTTATAAAAATTTTGCTATCATCGAGGATATAGAAGATATTAAATTAATATTTTTAATAGCTCTTTTTTTTTTAATAAATAGTAAAAAGCCATATATATTTTAAAAGCAATTTAGTATTGCGGGGTGCGTATAATTTCTGAATAATTATTTTTTTTTTATAACAGAGAATTTGATTATGTATGAAACCTATAACATCGCATGTTATGTTCGATCTTTTAACACTATTTGTCTGCCAACGGTTAAATTACCCTGGAATTTTCTTGGCATACCAATCACATTCTCTCTCACTACATTCTCATCCTAACTCGTTTCTTCTATGAGGCAAAAATTTTAAACTGTCATGCAATTCTGAAATATTTTTTGGCATCCTCGAAGGAAAAAGCTATTTCTAACGTCTTTTTTAATTTGGCAGTATGATACATACAAGGATGTAACATTTACAACTTATTTTTATTTCCACATTTGGATTAATATCAAGCTGACTATGATATTTTTCAATAAAGTCTAAATTATATCTTTTTTTAAATTTTGTGTGTGTGTGTGTGTGTGTGTGTGTGTGTGTGTGTGTGTGTGTGTGTGTGTGTGTGTAGTAATTTACGGAAAGAACAATAATACTGAAGTACCTAAAAATTTAGATACAGATCTGAAAACAATTTTGTTAAACCATTAAAGTAATTACGTAAAAATCTCAAACACGATGAGTAAATACACATACTGCAAAAAGTTTTGACATTCTAACAACCAGCTTGAGTGTCCTACATAATTATTTTGATGGTCCAACAAAATTATTTTCAGATCTGTATCTAGCTAAATTTTTAGACATTTCAGCAAAACCGTTCTTTCTGTGTAAAAATAAAATTCATGTAAATGCAAAAAGAGGTGCTTTTTATTTATTTTTGAAATTCATATATTTATTTGAAAAAGATCCTGTGTTATTATCAACGTCATTCTCAGAAATAATAAAATACAAACGCCAAGGTCCGGAATACTGGCGGATGTAATTGAAAGCAGGGGGCATCTTGTACAATGAAAGAACCTACGCGTAACGAAATGCATCTCGGAAGGTCTGCATTTAGGGGCGCGGAGGCGTCGCATTGTTCCTCGTAGGGGTGCAGGATTATATAGGGGGCTCGTCTCGTTTAGGGTTCTCGGCTTGGTACAGATACGTCATGATCGATAGTCTCGTGTTGTCTCTCGAAAGAGTGACGTGTTACAATTCCCGCGTCGCGTTCCGTTTTAATCGGTAATCTACAATCCGTCCCTCAAATTCCGTCGGCTGTCTCTTATATAACAAAATTGTTTTCATAATATAAGATCAGTAATTGATGATGAAATTAAACGTATAATATTTATTATAAAATTAGTAATAATATAGAAAGAATAAAAGAATAAAAATTATGTTATATTATTACAATTTTCATAAAGACGTTTGTATTGTGTTTGTCATAATACCTTTGCCATAATTAATGTTATATATATATATTAAATTGCGTACATGATAAGAGAAATGTTTTACTTTACACAATAACTTGTGTCATATTTCTTTATTTGGTCTATTGAATCTGAGGATGACTACTTGTGCGTAAGAATGTATCCTTCTCTTTCTCTCACCCTGACTACATCTTCGTTTCGACTCAGTTCTTGGCCCGCACTCTCCGAGAACCCCCAAGCGTCGCGCAACCCCCGTATTCCTCGGTGCTAAACGCAACTACACAAGGGGCCTTTCTGCAGTCTTTGTTTTCCCTTTCTTCCCAGTGTCGTTTCGCAGTCTCGCGCGGGGTGGTCGTTGAACGACGGAAGCAGGAAGAAATCAACCGAGAAGGGCAAAAAGCCGGCCGACAGACAAGAGAGATCGCGCGGGAGAATCATCAAAAATATTTTCTACGTCTAACAAATGGATCTTCAAATATGCAAAATTAATTAATAGTCTTTATTTTATATTTACGAAAGCTGCATAAACGAATCACTTTGATAAAGTATAAAAGAAAGAAGCAACATTTCTTTCTTTCCAAATATCATTACAACATTAATATCTGATAAAAGTTTTATTAATTTGATCATCATGCGTGAATAAGTGCTCGGACCTAATTTGTGATCATTAAAAAGTTTAAATAGTGACGCTAAAAGTGAAACATCATGATGTTTAAAGTGAAATTACAATGCTTCATAGATAACAGATAAAATTGTCACAATGAAGAATTCGTGATACGTTTTACATAGTGTACATATGCGAAAATATTTTTCTCAAATACTACTGTTGTTGAATGGCAAAGCGAAATAATTTGCTGCGTACTGCCATTGCGCGTCACGTTTCTATATTTAATTTTAAAAGACCGTTGTTTATTCGTGCCCCACGTACATGACTCACGACTATGTACAATTAAAATCATTGACTGGAGTGTCAATTCAACACCGCAATCATGCGGCGCAGTGATGCAAGGCGCCGAGATTCATCTCCGGGAATCTATCTTCCCCCGAACATCCCGTGGGTGCCCCGTCGTCCGATGGAACAACGACGGAGTCGAGAAGACAGCGCGAGGTTTGTGTAGTTCGCGAGTCGTCATCGGCGGGAGTATCGTCAGGAACGCGGCGGTGGTCCTGCGGGAGGTTGTGCGCGCGGCGGTGAAGGGATAAAGAGAGAAAAAGGGAGCCGGAGTTCCAGAGAGAGAGGTAGCGAGATTTTTCCCCACCGCTTGAAAAACCAACCCCCCACCAGCTGGGTACCGTGGGGGCAGGCGGCGGTGGCGGCGGTGTGGAAGAGACGCGCGGCGGGCTGCGGGGGCGACGAAAAGAGGGGGCGAGGAGGGTTACCCAGGGTGGTCTCGGTGGTGGCTGGGGGCGGCAGCCTCAAAAATACACCGCAACCACACCGCGCGGCTCCACCGCAGAAGCCGCCATCTTCCACCGCCGAACCGAAACGAGACCGCGCGAGTTAAACACCCTATCCTACTTCCTCCGAGTAGAAGCTGCCCTGCCACCCGCTGAAGCAACGGCCAGGTGAAGAATCACCATCGCCGCGACTGCAACCAACTCTGACGGCGAAGGACACTTGGGATAACCCGCGATCCTCGACGCGGAAAAATCTCCGATCGGTGATAGTGTGCGCGAATCAAGATATATCTCGCGGATATATCTCGTGATCGTTGCTTCGATTGTTGCAAGTTGAAATCTCAACGTCAGTGTTTACGAATTTTAATGCGTTATTTGGTATGTACATATAGATAATACGTTTTCGGTAATTGATCAAGATTTCGATCGACGAGAGAGATACACGTGCGCGGCCCTCGCCAAAGTTCGGCGAAACTTGGCGCGGTGAGCGCCGCGTACGGAAACATATGGTTTATTTGAAAAAGCCCTTCGCTTCTGGTATATAATTTCAGTGAAAATATAAAAAAAAAAAGAAAGTGTGTGAATGTGATGTTATCAATTATGAGGATCGCCGGTGCGAAACAGTGTTTTAGACACGCGCGTTAAGAAAGGCATATCTCTATAGATCTGCTTGCGAAACTGACTTTTAACTCAACGATCGGATTTAAGTGTTTCGAACAGTCGCGAGTGTTCCACATTGTCTTCGATAAAGAAGACGACGGGCTCGATCAAAGAATACGTAGAAACAAGGGTCGTCAAGATTGCCGACGATTCCAATAAAACGAATTTTCTCCGCGAGTTGGCAATCGAGACGGAGAATTTGCAAACGGATGCCCCATGCCTGCACCCCGCGGTAGGATAATGAAATAAGGATCAAAGAAGTCTAGGGGCCCGCGAGGGCCGAGAAAGCCGCCGAAAAGTCGCGTGCCTCTCGATTCCGAAGGAAACAAATCCGATTCTCGCCGGAAGCAGATATCGGCATTCGTAATGTGTTCCTCACTATTGGCGAAACCAATTTATGCTTGTAACGTTCTTAGATTGTTATCAAGTGGACTCAATATATTGACCGATCTTGAATGTCAAATATAACAATCAATTGTTATCGACGAAACTTCAGTTTGCGGAATAAGAGATTGTAACTTACTTAATAAAGTATATATATCACGAACACAGACGTATCATCAAAGGACCAAGCATCATATCGAAATTGATCATAAGGATCGATCCCCTCGTCACGGATCACGTGTACATATACTTCGTTTAGAATTCGGAAAAGTAAAACGTAAACAATTGAGCAGCCGAATTCATTCGAAAAGCTCGTAGGGCAAGGTGACATCTCAATCAAGAGAACTAATGATATCATTCTCATGACGAATCCTTCGCGAGATGCTCGACCCGAGGATCGGCCTCCTGGCCTAGATTATCCTGATCCCAGATCAGTGCGTGGCAGTCATCAGGTGCATCAAGCAGTGAATCAAATCAACGGGCCCAGAATACGGAGGACCCGGGCCTCGTCCTCGAGGAGAAGAATGCACTTGGCCAACGAGGTTCCTCCTCAAGGTTCGGCCGGCGGAAATCATCTTTCCGATTATGCTCTCACCGCCGATCTGCTTGCCGAGAGGACACTGGATGGACTTCTCGCCGAGCATCCTGGAGAACTTGTTCGTACAGGTAAAATCAATATTTATGTAAAAGTAATTTCACTGTGTACGATTATTTTCTAACTCGTTGCCATATTCCTACCATGATATAATATATAGAAAAAATAAAAATAAAAAATTTGGTAGAAATTTAAAAAATGTTATTTTAACTTTTATAAAACTATAAAAAGCGGTTACAGAACTGGATATGTATAAATTCACACGAAACATTAAGCATTAAGATTCAGCACGGAAAGAATGGTTTTGTTAAAAATGTATAAATTTAGTTAGATACAGATCTCTGAAAATAATTTTATTGGACCATCAAAATAATTATATAGAACACTTAAACATTGATGATAACGTTGCACAAAATTTAACATTCTGATCGTTCAATTTGAGCGTTCTACTTAATTATTTTGATCAAAACAAAATTATTTTTAGATCTGCATCTAGCTAAAGTTTTAGATATTTCATCAAATCCGTTCTTTCCATGTGCATTCACATATTAGTCTAATATTATTTATTGTATATAAAAAAGTATATAAAATTTTTCATTTTTTTAAATAAGCCTAAGTCTTAGAAAATAATTTCCATTATATCCGAAACGTAAATGGAATAATACTGTATAACTTAATAAACTTAATAAAAACAAACTTGTGTGTTAAAGATAAAGAATAGTTCTTTTATGTTTATACAAGGTTGCCCACATGTGGTATGCACAGTATTACCATCACATTGGAGGTCGAACAAGACTCTTCCGGTAGCCTTCAAGGTAGTAGCCCTCGGCGAGGTTGGAGATGGAACCCTCGTGACCGTTCGGGCCGGAAACGATGAGAATTGTTGCGCGGAACTACGAAATTCTACTGCTCTAATGAAAAACCAGGTCGCCAAATTTAATGATCTTAGGTTCGTCGGTCGAAGTGGTAGAGGTAAGTCCTAATAATTATCAAGATAACCTTTAACTCATAACATAACAATTACAATTTTTATTTAAATATTAATACGATAAAACGACGCTTGAAAATATATCTCCTCTTTTCTCATTCTCGATTATCTTTGTATATTTGCTTTACAAAAATAACTCTCGTTGATTGACGTCGGAAACTCGATCAGTTTTCCGCTGGTTCGCCTTTTCTTCCAATGTGGCATCTTAAATCATTCAGACTTCGCTACATTAAGGTGGTGCCCCGACTGATGGCCTCGTTTTTCCCGCGTCGAAAGCCAAGCACGAGCCACCACCTGGCCCCTCATTCCATCCTCATTTTTAATTCACGCGACAAATATCGTGACCCGGTATCTCCTCGCGACTGCCACCCCACTCCACGCCACGTCAGGGTAAGAGAGCGCACGCGGAGATTTTTTAATTCCCGGCTCCGCGTTTCAATAATTCAACGTTTCTTTCGTCCGAGGAGGCGGAACGCGAGGGCGACGAGGAGAGAAAAAATTGGGGTCCGAGGTCTCTGAATAATGCTCCCTAATAATCGCAGCCATTACGGACGGTTAATGCAAACGTTCGCTCCTTGAAGAGGAGTCTTGAAGTAGCGCGGGGAGAAAAGTAGCGGCACGAGAGAAACCTAGATCGCAGCAGGAAAGGAGCAAACTTTCCAACATCCTTTTTTTTCTTCATCTTCCTCATCTCTCCTTTTTCCACGTATAGAAATCGAGGTAGGGAATCGGAAGATACGAATAACGAGGCGTCCTTTAATTCCTTTAATTCGACCGAGTTGCACCACCGTTCTCCTCGTCCGCCTTCTCCCTTTTCTCGTCTTTTTCTGACGACGTCGAACTTTCGAGAGAGCAGTCACGGGCGGTACCCAGTTAACGAGGGGGTGGTCGACTTGTTTATGGCAAATTGGAAAAGGAAATTGCGGGGTTTGCAATATCGACGGGGGTTCCGCGCTATTTTTGTCCGACGGTATACAACCCTCAAGCTTATTTTAGCGATTATTTCAGAATACATCATCATAAATTATTGTAATTCGTTGGCGCATTTTTTTCCTGAGTTATCAGCCTACTTACAAGTGATATCAAATATCATCCAAACGGCGTGTTAGGATTTAGGATCCTAACGTTGGTCGCACTTCACATTCCTCTTAAAAAATGGAGAGATTCAAGATACTCGTTACGGAACAATGGAGACCCGGGAAACGATTTCCAGAATTTTTTAGCGAGACTCGCGAATGAAGATATCGCGAATATATAGGAAATTGTGGGATGGGATAGCGAAGCGCAAGCGAGAGGGACGGGGGTGCGAAGGGGGGTAGATGGAGGTAGAGTGGTTGGCTGTAAGCGGCTTTGGTTTCCATGGCAGTAAGCCCTCATTACTGTATTACGGGCAGCCCCTAACTACCACCGATATGCAACGATTTGCCTCTAGATTCCCTATATGATGAGAGTGATGCAAGATCGTTCCGTGCGCGTATCATGATCACCAGATCGGTGGAGATTTTTCTTTCCGTGCATCTTGCACCAACGAATTTCTACATTAAATTTAAATATCCTGTCCATCGCAATGCGTTCCAAATATACCAGTTGAAAATTATGCACGTGCGACAAACGCGGCAACGGAAAAGAAAGTTTTAAAAAAGGGGAAAGAGAATTAAGCGTACTGCGTAAAGACCGACTATAAAAGAGGTGAACATTATTATCTGCAAAAGAAAGGGCAAACAGAGCCCGTTGAACAAATCGAAAATTTATGATGTTTGTTAGCGAGTCACGTCGCACATAGCGAGTCATATAGCTGCATAATACCACAACGAGACGAGGAACCCCGGAGTGCATTTTATATACAGATTCCTCACGCGTTCCACTCGCTTTTTTGCTTTCGTTGTTTTGCACGTATCCCATGCTCGCGCACTACCGACTTTTTCGGCTGCAAATATTTGTCTCATGTTCGCCCGCGGGCTTTGTCAGGCCAATTTAATATTGCGAATGCGGACGAAGAGAATTGATCGTGGTCGAAATGCGTGACGACGTTGATGGGGTGGCGACCGAAATTCGCGTGGTGCGAAGAAAATGAAGAGTAAACGCTCATCTGCTTGCGTCAGGTCTTGTGCTAGTGTTTGGTAGACGTATCCACCGAAAAGCAGATTAGTTAAAAGTTTAAATTTTTTTCACTCGCTACTTGAACGAAACAGAGCTCTTCAAATCTCGAAAAGATATTCCGCCTATGATGTATTGTTATATACAATATAAAAATATAATTTTCTTTATAAAGATAACGAATGACGATAAATTAACATATTATCACATTTTTCGACGAAACGTGAAATAATTATCCGGTTTCTTTCGCAGATATTAATTGACTGTTTCCCGAGAAATTCTCATTTTGTCAAAGACCAGTTGATTGTTTTCCGAGAAATCCTTTTTATTACGAATAAACACGGATGAGGTCGAATGTGAGAAAAACTTGGAGTCGTCAAGTCGGCAAGTTTTTTTTCTGACTCCCACCGATTTGTTCCGACCCTTTTTAATCGACTATAATCGCTTTCATTCGGTCTTACGCGCTGACCCAAAAGAGGGACCTCTTCTAGCGCGATGTGTGCGGCTAGCGAGTGTAACGACTACGGTCAGGGGTTACGGGGGTGACGGCGGAATATTATCATACCGGCGCAGGGGCGTATATCACTCGGCCACCCCTTTCGCTCCCGACAGGGATTAGCGTCAACCTCCGACTGCTAGGAGTCACGGGCCGTACGGAGACGCGGGCTATATATATACGTGTTTCTCTGCGATGCATTGGTGTTGAGGGTGCGGATGAGCGGAGAGCGCGGCGCGGCGCGGCGCGACGGGAGAGGGTGGCGACGGGCGTAAAAACGACGGGCATAAATACCGGAGTTACCTGTGTTTTATGACGGTCCGGCCGAGGTATAGGCAGGAAGAGAGCGCGAGAATCCGAGGGAAAGCTCCGACTATCGACAGCCAGATCCTGACCGATGTCCTGGCGCAATGGATCCCCGTCTCGCCCGTAGAGCCGCCTCCGCTCTCCGCTTCTATCTCTTTTTCTCTCTTTTTCTCCCTTCTCGTGGAAGGAGGACCCGTTTTAGATCACCGCCGCATAGCAAGCGTTGCAACATAGGGTCCGAGTCCGCCGCTGTTGCGAGTGCAGATCCGAATCTTCGATATCTCCTTTATGTTTCGAAAGAAAAACGCGCGGCTCAAATATCGACACTTTAGTCATTATTATCACGCTATATGGAATGCTTTTAAATTGTCACTTTATAAAACTACGCAGCGATATCGCTTGTCAAATAAAATAATATATTCTCAACTGATTAAAATGATAATGAACTTCTTATGTTATACGTAAGACAGCATAAAATTCTTTCAGGATAACGAAACTGTGAAAAGTTATTCGTAGAGACTGCTGTGAAGAGTTTCGTACGAGATGAAAATGATTTAATAAGTCGTAAAGGTCCGTCGTCGTTGAGAAGGGTCGACATTCGTTTTCATCGACCTTTTAAAATAGCGAGTCTCTGTTCGGTCGACCGAACAGCTGTTGCAATCATTTGCCCCTGCATCGGCAATACTTTACTTTGAAGCGTGTCCAATTCACGAAAAAGTTCCCCTCGATTTGCTAATCTGAATTATAACGAGCCACAGCCACTTCATTAGCAACGCTCAACTAAAAAGAGAAAAATCTGCCGAGTAAGGAACGAGTTTGTTTTCAAAACATAAAAATTAATACCAAACAATTACGGTTTCAAATTTTCAAAAGATTTATTTCAAGCTTTAATCAACGGCAACGTTCGAATATAAATCTACTTTTGAAATACAAAAATTAATTTCCCCTGCAATCACTTGTTCCTGCATCGACAATAATTTGCTTTGAAGCGTGTCCAAATCACGAAAAAGTTCCCCTCGGTTGGCTAATTTCCCGAATTACAACGGACCACAGATATTTCATTAGTAACGTTCATCTAACAAAAATACTGAATAACGGCAGTGTCTATTTTAGAAAATAAAAATTATTATTATATCAAACAATAGTTATTTAAATTTCTAGAGGATTTATTAACAAACATCATCATTTCAAAACATTTCTATTTTTGAAATGTAAAAATTAATTTCCAGTGACGACGACGGATAATTCTCTAAAGAAATGAAACTTCCAACGTTAGAAGATATTAGCGTTTCCGAGAACGCGAATACGCCAGTTAAATCCGCGAGAGCGGTTGGCGAATCTCGCCGGCGACCACCTCGTGGCGACGTTTTTTGCCAATTAAAAATTAAAAAATCCATCCCTCGGTCAAGTAAGGGATCGTAGAAGGGACTGCGAGGGCGCGGGGAGGTCGAGGAACGCACAGTTCTATGGCGGATGACTGCGCCGAGATTTTCTACCGATTAAACATTATTTTCCGCTCTGGTCTGTAGTATGAGTCGCATACGTACGTACATATCCGTTTCTTTCACATATATTAATTCCACGTTTCCCTACTTTATTTTCTCGATATTTTTCGCTCCTCATTCCGTCGCGCCAACAGCAAGGCAGGCTTTTGCAAACGCTTCAATGACCGCCCAGTCGCGCTGTCGCATCTGAAAGTCGTTATGCTCGACGTTGCGATTATTACCGGTGAGAACTGATCTCCGCAAAAATTTATTCCGCGCCAAGATTTCGGTGAAATCATTGCGAAACAATCATCAAACGAATGACTTTCTTTTTGTAATCAATCATCTATTTTCAATAATGCCGTATTATTAAAAATCGATAAAAATACATATTAGTATTTATAATAAATTTTTAATTGATGCTCAAGGTTCGTTTAAGGTTAGAGCTAATCCTTGCAGAAATTTATTCTATAGCAAGATTTCGGCGCTACTTTCAATAATGTCGTATTGTCTAAAAATTGATAAAAATACATATCATTAATATTTATAATTAATTTTTAATTGGTTTCTAATATTTGTTTAAGATCAGAGCTGATCCCTA